CTAACACTCTGACCCAACCAACTCAAAGGAACAGTGAGAGAATGAAGCTAGAAAGGGAGCTAGTGGGGCCACTGTGGGAGTGAAAAATATGAGGAAGGAAGGTAGAGGTGGAGGGAGAGACCTACAGGTGGAAGAAAGGAAAAAGCTGAGGATGAATCATAACAATGGAAACGCATTGCTAGTATGCCTAATTCTAATTGTTTTTTATAAAAATGCCATAACATTACAGTAAGCACACATATATCTGGCTTTAGATATTGGGGTATAATAGCATGTGTATTTAAGTGTGGAGAGACCTGATTATACTGAGGCGCTTAGTGTTTCTAAGTAGGAAAGGGCAATAACCAGCTTTGGTTTTATGCTTTTACAGTGCTGATAGAGGTTTGTGTCTAAGAAATAGAAAGACTGGTGGCTTGTAGTGAGTTGATATTTTAACCTTTCTTGCTTCTGACAGATTACAGTGGGACAGAATTCTAGATAAACAGGTTGGCTTTTCTGTCCTAAAACATTTATTACATCATCTGGAGTTTACTGCATTTTAAGTGTGCGCAAAATATTCCAGTGGTATTCCCACCAGATCTCCCACCAACCACCCACTTGTTTCATTTACATTGCTAACATTCACCCTCCTGGCCAAGTCTAAAGATTGTCATTCATGGTCTTGTAATACATTAAATCATAACTGGGAGTGACATGGCAGGGGATGGAGTTTTGCACATGGGGACACTGCTCATTGTGATGACTTTGTGTATCAAACTGGCTTGGATATAGCTTGCGAACTATCAAATTCCTGACTCCAAATTTATTAGAACATAAAGAATGGTCTGACCCAGAATGGCCAATAGTCCATCTAGCCCAGTATCATGTCTTCCGACAGTGACCAATGCCAGCTGCTTCAGTGGGAATGAACAGAACAGGGCAATTGAGTGATCCATTTCCTGTTGTCCACTCCCAGCTTCTGACAGTCAGAGGTTTAGGAACACCCAGAGCATGGGGTTGCAGCTCTGACTATCTTGGCTAATAGCCTTTCATGGACCTATCCTCCATAAACTTATCTAGTTCTTTTTTGAACCCCTTTATAGTTTTGACTTTCACAGCATCCCCTGGCCAACAAGTTGACTATGTTTTGTGTGAAGCAGTACTTCTTTATGTTTGGTTTTTAAACCTGCTACCTGTTAATTTCATTGGGTGACTCGGGTTTGTGTGTCACAAAGGGGTAAATAACACTTCCTTATTCATTTTCTCAATGCCATTCATGATTTTATAGAACTCTATCATACCCCCCCTTAATTTTCTCTCTTCTAAGATGAACAGTTCCCAGTCTTTTTAATCTTTCCTTATATGGAAGCTGTTCCATACCCCTAATCGTTGTTGCCCTTCTCTGTACTTTTTCCAGTTGGAACATATATTTTTTTGAGATGGGGTGATCAGAACTGTACGCAGCATTCAAGATGTGGGCGTACCATGGATTTATAGTGGCATTATGAGAACTTGTCTTATTATCAATCGCTTTCTTAATGGTTCCTAACATTCTGTTAACTTTTTTGACTGCTTCTGAACATTGAATGGATGTGTTCAGAGAACTATCTACAATGACTTCAAGATCTCTCTTTTTGAATGGTAACAGCTAATTTAGACCCCATCATTTTATGTGTGTGGTTTGGATTATGTTTTCCAATGTGCATTACTTTGCGTTAATCAACACTGAATTTCATCTGCCATTCTGTTGCCTAGTCACCCAGTTTTGAGAGACCCCTTTGTAACTCCTTTGCAGTCAGCTTTGGACTTACAAAAATTACTCAAGATAGGTATCATCTGTAAACTTTGCCACTTCCCTGTTACCCATTTTTCCAGATCATTTATGAATGTTGAACAGATCCTTGGGGAACCCCACTATTTACTTCTCTCCACTGTGAAAATTGGCCATTTATTCCACCTTTTGTTTCCTATATCTTAACCAGTTACTGATCCATGAGACGAGCTTCCCTCTTAAGGAAAGTAAGCATTCATGGAATAAAAGCCTGTGGCGAGGGAGCTTGTCAAAGGCTTTGGGAAAGTCCCAGTATACTATATCTAAGGCTGCAATTTAGTCACGGAATCTGTGAGTTCCAAAGAGCTCTGTGACTTCAGTCAGTGTCGGCTGGGAGCTGCAGGGTCCCTGCCGCCTGCGGAGGCAGCAACCTGTGGGGTAGCCCCACAGCCCCCGGCCACCGTGGGTAGCAGGGGGGAGCTCCACAGCTCCCCAGCTGTTCCTAGCCACCAGGAGTGGCAAGGGGAACCCCTGCTGCTCACCGCCACCCCAGGCGGCGGGGGGGACCCGATGGTTGGGGCAGTCCCTGCTGCTCCCATGCAACGCAGGTGGCCATGGGGTATCCACCGAGCTCCCGGCCACTGCTGGTGACAAGAGTGACTCCCAACGCTCCCAGCCACTGCGGGTAGCATGGGGGATCCCTGTCACCGCAGGTGGCAAGAGAGACCCCCGGAGCTCCCAGCTGCTATGGGCGTCAGGGAGGACTCCAGCAGCTCCCAGCCATAGCAGAGGGCACCCGGAACTCCCAGCCCCCTTTCTCTCTCCCCCCCCCCCCGGGCTACCCATTTTGTCATGGTTATTTTTATTAAAAGTCAAGGGCAAGTCACAGGCTTCCGTGAATTTTTCATTATTGCTCGTGACCTGTCGATGACTTTTACTAAAAATATCCGTAAAAAAGCCTTAACTACATCCACTGGATCACCCTTGTTCACATGTTATGTGACCAATGATGCTGGATTGTTAAATGTTACCTGAGTAATTCTTTTTTTCTCTCTCATGGTTCAGCTTCAGAAAAACAGCTGCAAGGTGGAAATAATAATATTGGGTATTTTGTATTATATGGGTAGATATTAGAAGTTGATGGGTATAGGATATTCTTTCCAAGACACAATTAATATTATCCAGGTGTTTGAATGACTCTGAAAACAGTAGCACCACTAAATCTTGTGTATGAAAGCTGCTCATACGATAGCTACTAGGTAGACTGTAAACATTTTCAGTTTATTCAGTGCAGACAGATGTAGATGAGGGAAATGGGTATAAGTGTCACTTATATAAACCTATTTAGGGCTGAATGGTTTCTTCTTGTGAAACCAGGGGATCAACTTGTCCTTTTTGGTTTTCCTAATAATGAACAGGCTCTGGTAATCGGTCTGTTTTGGAGATTCATAGTTCTTTGCTGAGTTTAGTAAAATTACAAACTTTATGCTGGTAAGATTTAAGTTTATAGGCTTAGTGACTAGTCTCTAATTCTAAAATATGCTGCCAACATGTGTCTTTCAAGAAATTCAATTGCTTGAATTATTGTTAAAATGCCTGTATGGAATAGGCTATAAAAACAATGTCTGCAGGGAATGGCTGGCCCATGCGGGTAAACCTTGAAGAAACTTTTATATGTAATTCTTATTCGAGTAGACGACTCTTCCTATTTCCATCATAAAAATATCTCACCACAGCCTCAGTCCTGTCATCTTCTCCATAGGAATGAATTCTTGTGCCCAGGCAGACCCTAATGACTTAGAAATGGGACTCTGGTTGTAAGGATCTTCCTATAAAGATCAAGTGGCAGGACTGGATCCCCTATTTCCTCTGTGCTGTACAAGACAAATGAACAGGGCTTTATAATCCACTGCCATGATTACTTGTAGTTTTCTTTTAAGACTAATTACAGAAAAATGTTGAACTTTGGCTGGCCCTAGTACCTAGTCACTGGGATAAACTGCAGGGACAGCTGGTTTCTATGCTGGGCACTCTTTATTCTCGTTGGCAATTATATCCGTCATGACAATGAGCAAGTTCATGCCAACTGAAATCAGGCACATGAGTGAGATTCTGCTTTGCCTGTGCAGAGGAAATGGCCTGAGAAATTGTTTCATGTCCTAGTAAACGTATCTGCATACCCTAGAATTCACTGAAGTTCTCCTGAGTCTTGGTATCGGTGCTTTCAAAGCCAGGGGCAGAGACACCCACTAACCAGTCAGATAGAGGGGCAATGCTGTAGTGAGAAGCGCATCTCCCCTTCGTCCCTCCCCCACCCCAGCCCGCTGTCGAGAGAGGTGCTGGGATTTCTACCAGAGTGCTCTCCAGGAACCTTGCTTGAGGCTGTATTAGCTTTTGCCTAGTATAGCACTTCCTCTTTTGAAAGCTGAACAGCCCCCACCATGGGTTTGTATCTATCCAGCTGGTAGCCCTTGAACAGTCTCTGTCCCACACTGGATAATGCTGGCCTAGGAGGTGTTTGATAGATTTATAACCCTCTTCTGGATAGTCGGAAAGAAGAGCAACCACTTCCTTCCTCATTTCCCTATCTCCAGCATTGTCCTGCCTGTTGAGGACAGAAGTTTCTGCTACTCCCATGCCAGCCTGCTTGGTGCTACTTCTCTATTTCCCTAAGCTTTTTATTTCACAGTGGCCTTCCTTCCTCAGGAATACTCCCAGTGATTGCCTCTATACATAGTTTTCTTGAGCAACAGCAAAGTGACACTGATATTGTCAGAGTCCCTCCTGTCCAATGGGGTCTGAAGAGCAGCAGTGAAAACTAGGGTCTTGTTAGCTTTCCTGAGCAGCAGCAGAGCCACTGCAATTAACTTGTATTTATGTACAGAATCAGGAAAAGGGCACCACGTCAGTTTGTGTTTGGCAGGCTACCTCTGTAATGGATCAGGGCTGGGAAATGAATATAAAACAACAAACAAAACTCTGCAGACACTAGACGGCTTACAATTCACTTCTCGCAATTGGCAATTGAACTTTTCAAGGCCTGCTTGATGAGTCCAAAAAAAAGTTGTATTAACTGTAATAGATGGATCTTACTAATGAAAAGAACTATAAATCTCTGTGCTGGCATGTGCAAAATGTTTCTCTTATAACCTGCTATGGTGAATTAAGCTTCCAATTGTAGCTCTGTTGTTCAATATTAAGCATGATGCAATTTCTTAAACTGAAATTATACAAAACATTATTTTGACAGATCTCTGTAGATGTGAGGAGGCACAAAAGGGACAGTTTATTCTTTCGAAGTTGCTGGAACTGCTTGCAGTAAGAAATAAAAGCTGTGCGTCAATCAAGAAAACTATTTCAATTGTTCAGAACATGCTGCTAAACTAACCTTTGCAGCTACATTTTTAGACGTACCATGGGATGCATCAAGTCCAAGAACGCTTTTCCAGGCTCAAACACTATCCTGGATGAGAGGAGCAGGGAAGGTGGTGAAGGATGCAATGGGGAGAAATCTTCACTGATTACAGTGACGCTGGATGAGAGAGGCTCATCAAGTACCATAGTGCTGGATTATGCGCACCGGCTCTCTTATGAAATTCTTGATCAGGCTGTGAAACAATGGGCAGTGACTGAAAGCAAATATAGTGACATTCCTTTCATCGAAAGTGATGTGCCCTGAATTCCGAGGATTATCTTCTCAATAAGCCTCCATCTGTCTGTTAAACAATTCACGTTTGGTGCTATTGCAAATAAATAAGTTCAAGAAGAAGCAGCTGTGATTTAAGCATAATTCCAACTTCAGTACTGTGTCTGGAAGGTCAGGGGAGCATAAAATCTCCTTTTATTCACAAGCAACTGGACCACAGCAGAATCCATTTATCCAACGTCAGTTGTGATCCACTGTAGGTTGAGTGTGTTCTGTCTGCTTTGTATGTGCTGAGTCTGGTCATAATGAATGTCAGGAAAATGGATGTGCAAAACTGCTGCAACTGTAATCACCACCCAATGGTCGCAGCAACATCAGCACCAAAGATCCTTAAGGATAAGGTACAAACTGTCTTTCTTTAATGTGCTGCATAAAAGCTGTTGTAACAATAGATTACTTTACAAATGTGTAAGCCTTGCATCTGCCTATGATCTTACGTGAGAAATTGCACGTATGATAAAATGCTCTAACTTCTGTTAAATGGGAATCAGGATTATAGAGCTATAGCATAATAATTGGAATGGGTTCCGTCAGAAATTTACCTTTGATCTTTTAGGATGACCTGACTAAATGTGTGAACTGCTAATTGACTGTTAAGCCAAGGCAATGTGCTTTGTAATAGTGAAAAGTAGCAAACCAACCGTATGGATTATGCTGCCATTAAATCTGCCCTTCTTAATCACATCAATAGGAAACGCATTAAAGGCACTGATAACCTAATTATCCTGATGAACCATTTAACTGATGCCTTGGCATCTGCAAACTAGGTGAAGGGTATTGACTAATCCCTAAAAGCATAAATTAAGGTTGTTAACAATAACATTCATTGCTGTAGCAATCAGTTACACATGATTACTATACTCAGACCAAAGATATTTAGTTTAGCCAGGAAGGTGAGGGAAAATTAAATAAGCCCCCGAAGGTTCATTTTATTAATCAGTATAACTGTGAATGGCTGAGAACATCTCATCTAAATATGATGCTGCCTTATACTGAAATACCACTGACAGGATGCCATTTGGGGCAGAAGGCCTTTCTCATGCTACTGTGAGGGGCCATCTCCTTTATCTGTTAGTTGAATTGTGAGTCTGACTAAATGATGATTAAATGCCCTGGGTCCAAACCGTATTAGAGCCGAAGGGCTAAAGCATTAAGGGAACATATTTTTTTAAACTAGTCTAGACAATGTGCCCTTGTTCAACAGGATTTGTAGGCTGGCCCATCCAAACCACAGCTGGGATCTTGTAGGTTAAGCAGGAGGTGCAATGATGGATTTTGAGGACGGGCATTTGCAATATGTTACCTAAAGCCAATGAGCATAGTTTTGCACTCAAACACAATATTCAGCTGCATGCCTTTTAGGAGCGTGGGTTCTTTGCATTTGTTTCCTCCTCCATCAAAATCCATTGTCAGTAATAAAAATGCCTAGATAAGGCAGTCAATAAAGTAGGTGCATATTTCCATTCATTCCACTGTAATTTAACAGGCAAATAATGGGTTTGCAATTTTTAAAATAAAAAACAGCTTTTCCAGGCAAGTTAAAGGCATTTGTGAAAATTTATTAAATGATACAAAAAATGATAGTTTGAGTAATGTTTTTGGGAATTCATCTCTTGCTGCTGCTACGATTGAGCTACTATCTGTCCATGTAGAAGAGAGAGAAAATACGGATGTTTATGAAGCTGAAGCAAATTGAAAAAGGAGACAAGTTATTTTGGGTTAGTGTTTACAGGTAAATGACAATTTACCAGGAGTAAATTTCATAAATGAAGAGTAGTTTCCAATACCGCTGCCCAAGACTGACTTGAAATACAGGTCTCTTATTCACACTGAAGTTAATTCCATAGATCTCACTCTGCTGCTATTTAGAATATTTCCCCAAGCCCTCGAAGAAAAGGAAAAACAATTTGGATCCAGTCTATTGAATACTGTCGTCTTCTCTATATCTGTATTTTCAAATGGGCCATTGTGTTAATAGACAAAGCCTGTGATACACCATGTCCAATCTAAATCCCATCACTATAACTGAATCTCCCGGAAGTTACACTGAGTATAGTACATTCAGTCATGCTCTACAGGTACCCTCATTAAAAAAGATGATTCCAAACATGAAGTGAATTTAAAAAAGAAATGGAATAATCAGCCAGAAAAAAATGAATCCTGCCTTAATTTACTGTTTGATTAATCAGTCTAAAAAGGGAATCTCTTCCTATATAAGAAAGAGAAAAGGTAGGAAAACAAATCTTTCCCTCACCTAGCATCAGATCACGTGTGGTACGGTACAGCAGGAAAATATAATTTGTCCCATTGCTGACAGTGATTTTTTTTGTTTTTAAATCACTATCAACTGAACTGCATAGACATTGCTTCTGTGCATCTGCTATTCAAATGACATTTCCCCATGATTTATTTTAAAATACACTTAGCTGTAATCTGAAATTAACAGCACTACAGTTTAAGGAGTAGGAGGCTGGATTTCATATTACACTTCAAATCCAATTCAGGATGACTAGATGAAGCTTGTGTTGTAGTAAAAGCTTATTCCTATGTCAAAAAAACCTCTTAACACCATTAGTCGCATGTTAAGCATTGGTTAGGAAATGCCAAGGAATGAGCTACATTAAAAAACTGAATTCCAGTTGCAGCCCTGGTCCCTTTTTTGCAGAGATGTTGGCAATAAAGTGTCAGTTTAACGAAGTTTGGGGAAAGGCTGCCTACAGCTCTCTAGTTAAGTGCATTCTTTTCATTTCCTGCTCAAGTAGCTGCACTAGTTGTTACTAAAATGCTCTAGTTAATGGTCTCATTTACAAATTAGTATATACGAGTTATTTCTCTTCTTCCAGTGCCCCCTACTGCTCTTTGTGTGCAGACAAGGGGGAAGGAGGCTTTTTTTCTAGGAGCCTGACTGCTCTCTATAAGTTGTAGAGAGAGAGTTCCAGGCACTTGAATGCTCAGCTGTTTTACTGGGCTTCTTAGTCAATAAGCTTATCTATAAAAGCAGATAAATTATGTCTACACCCATAATTGGAAAGGCCAAATGGCTTAAGGAGTGAGGTGATGGAAGGAGTAGCTCATGGGCTATTCTGACTCCACCCAGTTGGGTCCACCTGATTCTTGGTGACTGTGAACAGGCTTCATTCAGTGAGAGAGGGTTTTCTTGTTTTGTTTTTTAAAGGCTGGGAGATGAGGCACCAGTAGGCACAACAGAGCAAGTTGACAATGCACTCCCACTGCTGAAGTCACTGCTAAAAGGGAGCAGGGAAGGAGGAAGGAAGGGTGGGCAAGAGGAACAGACTGCCTCCTTCCTTTTCTGTATTGGCTGGAGGGTCTGGCATTTCCCAGCGCTGGGATAGTAGATACACAGCTTGAAAGCAGCTTCTCTGCCAGGAGCGTGGTTTTGTTTTGTTTATGGCTGAATTGCACCTTTCCCTGCACAAGACACCCGGGCATTAGACTTGTAGCTGAATCACAGCTCCCACAACCATCCATCAGAAAGCATGTTAAATGCACAAGAATCAAAGGAGAAAATTACCCAGCTGAAGGTAAACAGTGTATGCCAGACAGAGCTAGCGGAATACTTAGCATCTGTAAAGTTATGAACTCTACACTCTACCTACAAATACCACCTACAATAGGCCCCCTACTAAAATTGTCTCCTACTGCTAATCCTTTCCATATCTGAATCTCCTACCTGTGACTTCCAAACCTGTTCTCCTCTCCTACTTCCTGACAATTCACAGCGCTCTCAAACAACCCAGAGTGCTACTCTAGCAGTGTCTGACAGGAACAATGCTTTCTAAGACATTAGCACTTCAGGCAAGCACAGAGTGGATGGAAAATAGGCTCAGGGGCTCTAGGGACAGCCGTGTACATAGCTGCATAGCAGGAAAACAATTTCTGACTTTTTAGCCATTTAAGTTTTGTAGGACACTGACCTTTTCAAATGATGCCTGTATCCTTAAGACCATAGGACAGTATTCTACAGTAACCTCCCAGAACTTTGCAGGATTTCTGGTAAGGATATTGCTACTGTCCTTCACAATAAAGATAAAGACCTTTACCTAACTGATATGCTCAATGAAATTACACAGTAGCCACTCAATAGTAGTTTGATTTTAATGGTAATATAATTTTTATGATAGAGCTGCAACAGTGGCTCTACAACAAAAGTTGCAACTAGTTTTTTCCTCTGAGATTGTATATTGAAGGACTTGCATGACAGGCACACATGTTTTGGAAAAACATTTACGGATTCTTTTTCATTAGTTATACTATACGGTATGCAATGTTCATGCAACTGCCCACAAAACAGTGACAATTGTATCTCGCTAATGCATGTTATCTGCCTTGCTTGATGCTCTACTTTTGGTTCAAAAACTAACTACAGCACAACTTTGTAAAACTGACATTTCAGCAGCATGACAGAGCTGGATCCAAACTCTAGTATGACCATATATTTTTACAATATTTTTGTGATAACACTTTCTTAACTGAATAAAATTAAGTTGTAATTAATTGCTTGTAAGGTTTTTATTTGATTAAAATACGCATTACATCCCGTTCTGAGTATATTAATTTATACATATAAAATCTTGCAATGCCAGCAGTGTGCTATGTACTTTGCAGAGACGGCATGATTCCTGCCGCAAGGAGCTCAAAATCTTGGCCTCGTTT